TCTCAATGGTAGCAGATGACAGAACGAGGAGTAATGGTCTCAAGCTGCAGTGGGGGAGGTTTAGATTGGATATTAGGAAAAACTTTTTCACTAAGAGGGTGGTGAAACACTGGAATGCGTTACCTAGGGAGGTGGTAGAATCTCCTTCCTTAGAGGTTTTTAAGGTCAGGCTTGACAAAGCCCTGGCTGGGATGATTTAACTGGGAATTGGTCCTGCTTCGAGCAGGGGGTTGGACTAGATGACCTTCTGGGGTCCCTTCCAACCCTTATATTCTATGATTCTATGATACACAGCGAGCATTTTCACCATTTCAGGATAACCAGCTGGAGATCTTCTCCAGTTGAGTGTATGGAAAAGCTGACCTTAGAGGGACCGAGAGCAGAAGCTGTCATTTGCGGCAATCATGTAGATAGAAATGCTTGCTACAGCTCCCAAAAAGTCAGCAGCTCAGTGCCCCTTGATATATGGCAGGCAGATGTTCTTGCTGGACCATTAACCACACAGTGCCTGAGTCCCCGGCATATTTCATCTTACTGGATCATGAATAACAAAACACCATACTTAGAATCCCTCCAGGTGGCTGTGTCTTGCTCACGTTCAACCCTCTTGTGTACCCATGCAGGCTCAAGCTTGTGTTTAGCAGGGCTTACCCTGAGAAAGCTGTTCGCTGGAGAGTAATCCTTTTGATGCCTTGGCCAAAAGCTATAGTTCCATCAGCTTAAAAACAAAACAAAAAAACCAACCAAGAGAGCCAGCTGGAACCAGGGGACAGGAGAATAAAAAAAGGTGACAACCATTAAATTAGTACTTTTAATAAGATGGACTCCTCATGTAGTTTGTTAATTAACTAATTAAAGTTATGTTAAAAAAAACTTTTGGTAACATAGGCAGAGAATTTGCATGCTTTTATTTTGAGATTATTATATTTTCCCCATGTAGTATAACAACTTTGTTCACTTCAGTTGCAGGTTTATAAGTATATACTACGTAATCTTGGATGAAAAGGGGAGTCAATGAAGTTCATTTAAAAAAAAAAAGAAAGATAGGCAAAAAAGTAATAGGCAAGAGCAATAAACTAAGAGAAAAAATAATCAAATCATCATATGCCAAGTACAGCGCCTAACAAGGTTTGTGGCTGCCATTCCTCTGATCACTTTGCTTGTATATCCCCTTTCTTCCACCCATTGTATTGTCTGATTAGACTGTAAGGGTATGTCTGTACTGCAATACAACACTCAGGGCTTGCCCATGACAGCTGACTGGGGCTTGCAAGGGTCGGGCTGTAGGGCTATAAAACTGCAGTGTGGACATTTGGGCTCGGGCTGGAGCCCGGGCTGCCACCCTTTCCCCGTGTGGGGTCCCAGAGCTTGGGCACCTTTCCCCCTTGTGAGGTGCCAGAGCTTGGGCCCCAGCTCAAGCCTGAACAATTGCCAGAGACCCCGGGCTTTTTCCCCCACTTTCCTCTGCAGCATGGGGCACAGGACACTCACAAGTTTAAATTAGAGTAAAGGGTGGATTCTCTGTAACTTGAAGTCTTTAAAATCATGATTTGAGGACATCAGTAACTCAGCCAGAGGTTATGGGTCTATTACAAGAGTGAGTGGGCGAGGTTCTGTGGCCTGCTATAGGTGTTTCATTGCAGTGTAGAAGTACCCTAAAGCCCAGACAGATCTTCAAAGTTTTTTAGATGCCTAACCCCAATTGATTTCAAGATCTTTGGATAGGGACTGTTTCTTTTTACAATTTTTTGCATTATCCTGATTGGGGCTTTTGGGCACAACTGTAATACAAAACAAATTATTTCATCTGTTCCAATATACCACATATTTAGTGGTTGGGATTTTCAGTGTTCTTCTCTCTGAATTCAAAAACCAATATCCTATAATCATGTGAATTTTAAAAGTTCAGGAAGGAGGCAAGCAAAATGAAGGAATTCACTGGTGTGTCTTTGCTAACTATTATTATTATTATTATTAATACTGTGGAAGTGCTTGGAGGCATAGATCAGATAGGGCCCCCATTGTACTTGGCACTACACAAACATATAGTAAGTCCCTGTCCAGATGATCTTAGTCTAAAAGACAACTTAAAAACTTGTGTGTGTGTGTAAGAAAGGCTACGTTCTGCAGTCTGATGGGGAAAAAAAATGAAATAGGTGTATATTGGCATAGCAATGCTAGTAATGTGGGTAGCAGACCTGACTCCACTTGGTCACACAGCTATTAAGTTTCAGTAAACATTCATCTCTGAATCGCCCCCTGAGAAGAGACTTTGCTCATTTCAATCATAAATATGCACCCCCACCTATTACATCACCATCCAATTCTCTCCCATCTTTGCACAGATAATTTACCATCATTTACAAAATACACACAGCCCTTTCAAACTGCTTTTTAACTTAGTCAGCCAGCCAATGGTTTTGATATTTATAAACTGTTGAAGTAGTTCTGGGATCAAGCTGTTAGTGGTATATATATATATTTTTTTAAGATAGGTTGACTATCATCTGATATTAATAAATATAATATATATGCGCATGCATTAAGTGCCAAGAACATGAAGCACAATTATAATAGTGATATAGACTAAACTGTCCTATACCATAATTCTATTCACTTAAGCTAAGTATCCCATAACTCCTTGCATTTGCTGAAACAAGCATTTGCATAAGCAGATAGGAAACTTGTAAACATCAAGATTAATTTGGTCTATATCTTAGTACAAACTAGGGAGGTACCTTCATGGACCAGTACCTGGAAAGCTAGTATCCATAAGATAGATAAAAAAGGAACAGAACAACAAGTTAAGGAACTAGGACAAATGGATGGGTTGGATTTTAATGATGTGTAAACCTGTAAAATCATTGTTTAACTAATACCAGCTGAAATTGTAACTTTGGGGTGCACACCTTCTGCATAAGGCGAATCTAACATCGGTGCACAAGATGGCTTCTTGGAGACTGGCATTGCCCAGAACCTGTGTCCTGTACTATAGTAATAAACCTGACTGACACTGGTTATTTGGTCTCGAGTATATTTCATAACAAACCAAAGTATGGTCAAGCAATTGGCACTACAGTTTATCAATAGATATGATATATGATGTGCAGGTTTATTTTTAAATTGGGCCAAGTGACTTAAGCTGGACCTGTCTGAGCATTTAAAAAAAAAAAAATCTTGATTCAGTGGCCAGTCCCATGAGCCATACCCCTGGTCCTCCTTCTGGGAGGATTCAGTCCCAAGAGCCCTCCACAGACTTGGGTATGACTGATAAGCTCTTCTGAAAGTTTTCCCAATTGCTCAAACATTTGAAAAGGAGTACTTGTGGCACCTTAGAGACTAACCAATTTATTTGAGCATAAGCTTTCGTGAGCTACAGCTCACTTCATCGGATGCATACTGTGGAAAGTACAGAAGATCTTTTTATACACACAAACCATGAAAAAAATCGGTGTTTAACACGGCTGTTACTCTGAAACCTGTCACTTTAGATAAGCTATTACCAGCAGGAGAGTGGGGTGGGGGGAGAGAGAGTGGGGTGGGGGGGTGTTTATCACTTTTGTAGTGGTAAACACCCATTTTTTCATGCTTTGTGTGTATAAAAAGATCTTCTGTACTTTCCAAAGTATGCATCCGATGAAGTGAGCTGTAGCTCACGAAAGCTTATGCTAAAATAAATTGGTTAGTCTCTAAGGTGCCACAAGTACTCCTTTTCTTTTTGCGAATACAGACTAACACGGCTGTTACTCTGAAACCTGTCAAACATTTGAGTTTGTCTGGAGTTCCCAGAAGGCGATTTTCACCCACACAACCTACAGAAGTTTTTCAAAGCACTTTACAGAAAATGGTTGAGAGAAATATAAAGCAAATATCTTAGACAGTGGTGAACCATTGCCAGTACACTTCACAAATAATTAGCTGGAAAAAACTAAAGGAAGACTACATATGAAGGCGTATATTTATCATCACTATGTTAACTGTCTCTTCATTGACTTGAATGAGTTTTGAATCAGGCCCTTAATCTGTAGTTTTCAGTTTACCCATTAAAATGAACTCAAACTGGTAAAATGCCAGATTACAAACTACATTCAATCAAAAGGCAATCTAATTAGGGACTTATTAACAGGAGTGATTCTGAAGCACCCTTAATTACATGGTGTGGAAAGTGAGGGAAACATTATTTTTTTAAAAATATCACATGCACCTCAGTTTACATGTGTGATATTATCCTGTCTGAGTGCAAGGAGTTAAATCAAAGGAAGCAGGAGAATGAAATGGGAAGCAAAACAATGGCAAAGTTAAGATACAGTCCAGAAAATACTATAGGCCCTTGAGAAACAATAGGGAAGCTATTAATTGGAGAATCCCTCCAGCCTGTCTCCAACTATGAGGGCAAATGTATTCTTCCCAGACCTGAGCCTAGGGAAGAGAACGGATTGAGTGGGCTGTCAGCTGCCCAGGAAGAAGAATGACAGGCACACAGAGAGACAGAAACTGCAGCAAGCAGGCTGTCATCCCAGCTTAGAGATGGGGGTAACTGGCTGAGAGGAACTCTCCAAAAGCTAATGAGAAAAAAGATTTAAAGCTTAGGTAAGGGGAAAATAGGTTTAGCGGCCTTTTTGTTTTTATCCATTGCTGTGTGCTATGTGCCTTTGGGTGAGTAAATAATGCTTTGATTTGCATATGCTGTTTTTGAGTCACTATATTCAGCTATTGCCACAGGCTCCTGCAGGAAAAGGGTTTCCAAATGCCAAACAGGGCCTCTTGTGTTAACATGGCTGGAAAACATGGGGGCTGTAGCCCAGAGATGCAGTCTTCCTGGACTGCAGGAAGCCAGGCCTGATACTGGAGAGGTGCACTCAAGAGGAGAAAGCAGAGCTCACTGTATAATCAGGAAACATGGTTTTAAAACAATTTAAGTCAAACAGAATTACTGCAACATACAGCTCTCAAAATAACTTGTAAAAAAAAAAAAATCTAGAAAGAGCATTTAAGCTTACTGCTTCACCAGTTTTTCCAAGGTTTCCTTGATCTCCTGGTTCTCCCTGTTAATGCAGAAAACAGATTATATAGTGGATTATAAATTTCGCTTCTTGCAGGAGGGTGTTTTACACTTCTCCATTTTCCCAAATTCCCTTTTTGTGTTTCATTTTCTATATAAAACCTAAGCAGTAAAATTATACAAATTAAACAAAACCAATGGTTTTGCCTGTATGATCAGGTATCCTTTGGTTCTCTTTTTAATCCCCCTCTTATATTCATATCTTCCTTTTGTCAAATGGAAATTAAATATAAATACACTATATAATTCTCTTTATTAGTTCATAACCACTTCTAAAAGCAAATGTTATTTGTAAATAGTTTGTGAACTTATTTATATCAATTTGACAATACACCATATGGGGCAATTATCTGCATAAAGTATAATAATATTACTCAGATATTTAACTCTTCGATTGCTTTTCCAAATTTGCACTGTTCCACATTTATGATGGTTTTGCGAGACACCCTACTCTATACAACAGTTGGAATAAAATTCTAAAAAACTCAGGTTACTCTTCCAAAATGCTACATTAGAAAGAGATAGGAGTATTAGAGAAGAAATTCTGCTCTCACTTATTACACTGTAAGTCTTGCAAATCCATAGAACTCCATGGAGTCATGGTGGATTTACACCGATGTATTTTACAGCAGAACTTTACAAGAGAATGTCACTGTATTAATTATCTTGCTAACACTACATAAGTGGCAGTATCAGCCCTTCTGTCCCATCAAATACTGATTTGAGGAGCACTTGCTGTTATGGTGGCTCAGCTGTGAGGCACTGGGCTTCCCTGCAGCTAGAGCATTGGTGTGCAAGTAGCTGCAGCATCCGTGCCATGGAAGTCCTTTAAATGCAAAGTGACTGAGCTCACACCAGCCTTCCCCTGCATATACTCCAATCCTCTCCTTTCTTCCTGTCTCCACACCCCCATGTCCCCAACATTCATACTAACCCTCCTCAAATTGCCACTTATCTTCCCCTCTGAGCCATATGGAGGGACAGCAGGTGCCATCCATGTTCCCCAATCCTGTTGGGAGTATTCTTTGTTCTCCCAACTGAGGAGCCTGCAAGTAAGCAGATTCACTGGCTAGATGTAGGTCAATGAGTGGCCTCCTCTCAGGTGCCCCTCGTGGCCACAGGGCCACTCTGCAAATGGTCCTACACCTCAGTTTTCCTCTTGAATGCACAGTAAGTCCAATACAAGTATGTCCTCAAGTCCATCACAGTTTGTTAACCAAAACACAGTGCAAACATCCCAAGTCACACAACATAGTTCACATCATCCCTGTTCATGTAATCTTAAAAACCCAGCTTCTTTCTCACCATCCCAGTGTCTTCCAATAGACCCAGACTCTTTATTAGTTGTTCTCTGTCCCACCACCAGGACTGCCACCTGAGCCCTTCCTTCTGGGGCACAATTCCCCTCTTCCCAGTGGCAACTCCCACAGTCTCTCCGCTGAAAGCCTCATCTGATTCCTCTGGGACCCAGCTCCCTAGCAAGGAGATGCCAGCATCAGCAGGTAAGGCCCTCTGCTGCTCCCCTCCCTTCAGCCCTCTGGATCCAGCAAGCATCTCCATCTGCTGCTCCTTCCCTCTCCAATCCTGGCTTGGGGAAACCTCCCAGCAAAGCCCTTGCTGCTCTCCTGCTTTCAGTCCTCTCCTAGGAATTATTCTTCCTGACTGAACCAGTCTTCTCTAACCCCCTTAACTCACTCTCAGGCCTCTTATGTTTCCCAGATGGTGCCTTGCCCTCCTAATTGGCCCAAAAAGGGAGCAGCTGTACTGGAACAGGAGCGTTGAGCCCAATTTCCTTTAGTCGTATTGGAAACCCTGTTACAATGTATCTCTCTCGCACAAGCACATACGTACGTCTGAGGGCACTCTAACCAGGGGTGCTCGAACAATTTTTATAGTAGGGGGAGCTGTTGATGGAAACCATGTATTTGGTGTTTGTTATTACTAACTACTTCAAGGGAGGGTGTGCGGCAGCACCCCCAGTTCCAGCACCACTGACTCGAACTATATTCCATTTTCATATATAAAACCCAGCAGTATTACCTTCAAGCCTTCTGATCCAGGTTCACCTGCATACCCTTTCCGACCTGGCCTTCCCTAAAATAATAAATAAAATTAAAGATTTCTAATATTTGACTTTTACAAAAAATATATCTCCATTTCCTAATTTCTCTATTTATCAAAGGGTCTCTCTCAAAGAGATTTCATTAACTGTATTAAATGTTTAAATATAATATACTGTCTACTAACTTTATTGTACCGTGCATTTTACAGCCACTTTTCTGAAAATATACTACTGAATATAAAAGAAAATACAGTACAATCAACAAAACGTGTATCAACTTTTACCACAGCCAATGGTTTATTAGAGAAAATTCATCAAAACCCAAGGATGTAACATCCACTTCAATTTCAGTTATAAGAGACCATTGAGGTGGCAAAGAACAGAAAGGAGCTAATTCACTGCTGTCATAACACCACTGAAGCAGGGGGAGTAACACTGCCAGAGAATTTAATGATAGGTGTTCCAACTCTCTTTTCTCTATCAGACAGAATCAGCTCAAATTTCTTCTCTCCTTTGCTCAGAAGGAGTATTGTATATTTCAGCTCCTGAGTTGTTTTACCTTTGGTTCGATGATTATGCTTGTTGACAAATCTTGCTGCTATGATAACTACTTAATTGTAGCATATTGTTAGCTGAGGAGAAGTATGGTACCATTAATCAGACTGAGAGACCACAGATGAGGAGGCCTTTAGAAGCCTTTTACTGTGACCCGCTCAAGCTGCTGCCACTTGCACAAAACAAAAAGGCACAGAAAGACAAAAAGGGGATTCTTCTTCTGAATTTGCACTTGGCTATTTGTAAAACTTTAATTGTGCCAAGGGCAGTCTTATTTTTACTGTGCCATTTATTTTTTTTTCAAATATGTTTTATTTCCTCCTCAGAATAACTTGCAGCCTAGAAATCTTAGCCCAGCACAGTCACATAACTGCAGTGACACGTTAGTCTCCCTAAGCGATGGCAGCTTTATTTACCACACTTCTGTTGAATGTCCCCAAATTTCAATTAAGACTGTTTATCCAAATGTAAAGGTTTTCAGAACAATTGTATTTTGAAAGGACCTTCTTGTTTTTCTAGAAATACACCGTGATACTGCAAAAGTACAGTACGTTACTGCAAATTATGGAGATAACATGGCATATGCTGAGGATTATATCATTATCAACTTGGGACTGCAAAATGCCGAACACAATTACCCATGTCATTTGCAGTTAGCAGCTGCAAGTAAAATACATCGTGGAGCTCCTTGGTGCACAGTGAAAGCATGGCTGCTGCACAAGCGTGTACAGGGTGGGTACTCTGTAGACCAATGTGTGTGTGCAGGAGGTAGATACTGAAGTCTTCCTCCTGGCTGACTCCTTTGGGGTGGCTAGTCTCATCCTGTCCCTGTGCTCAGGGGAGCACAAACACTATAACTGTGCCCAGTACCTAATGGATGCAAACTATGTCTGAGAAGCTTGCAGTCCAAACACTCAAAACAAATATATACTAGGAGAATGGTGATGCTATACATCAGGGTGGGCAAACTTTTCGGCCTGAGAGCCACATTGGGGTTGCAAAACTGTATGGAGGGCCGGGTAGGGAAGGCTGTGCCTCCCCAAACAGCCTGGCCCTGCCCCCATCTGTCCCCTTCCACTTCCCACGCCCTGACTGCCCCCCTCAGAACTCCCAATCCACTCAACCCCCCTGCTCCTTTTCCCCTGACCGCCCCCTCCTGGGACCCCCTGCCTCATACCACCCCACCCGGGACCCCACCCTCATCCAACCCCCCCCTTCTCCTTGTCCCCTGACTGGCCCGACCCCTATTCACACCCCCACCCCCGGACAGGCCCCCCCCCAGACCTCCCACGCCGATCCAACCCCCCCGTTCCTTGTCCCGACTGCCCCCCCCCGAACCTCAGCCCCATCCAACCATCCCTGCTCCCTGTCCCCTGACTGGCCCGACCCCTATCCACACCCCCACCCCCTGACAGGTCCCCCAGACCTTCCACACCGATCCAACTGCCCCCTGCTCCCTGTCTCCCCCCCAAGACCCCTCCAGCCCTGGCCCCTTACCATGCTGCTCAGAGTAGCATGTCTGGCAGCTGCGCCGCCTGGCTGGAGCCAGACACGCTGCTATGCTGCCCTGCAGGAGCGTGCTGCTCCGCTGCCCAGAGCGCTGCCCATGCGGCAGTGTAGCTGTGGGGCGGGGGGACAGCAGGGGAGGGGCCGGGAGCTAGCCTCCCCAGCCAGGAGCTCAAGGGCCAGACAGGACGGTCCCGTGGGCTGGATGTGGCCCGCGGGCTGTAGTTTGACCACCTCTGCTTTACATAATGGACTCCTCTTAAAGGCTGATTGACAATACCACTGTAGGTGAAAAGCCTTAAAAGGGAAACTACAGGTATTGTACAGATACTTGACGTTCTCCTTAGCAGGAATTTTCAGTCTTTTGAGCATAACAGCTGCAACAGACGGAATGATTGTGATTATAGGATCAATAGTCTGCACTGGGACCTTTACTTACAGTATACCCATCAAAATCAGGGCAAAGTACAATCAAAGCAATGGGCACTAAGCTACCTACTTATTTCTCAGGGCAAGGGCACAATCTAGGTCTTGGGTTCTGTTACCTTGATTTCTCAGTGACTGTATCTATCTCTCAGTGCCAATGTCTGGGCATGTTCCCTGACTATCTGAGCAGTTTCTGTATGTTTTGAGACTATATATTCTTACTAAGTTCCCATGATACACACTTTAATCCCATTTTTTTCTGGCAGCCACAATAACCCTAAAAGCATTCCATTTTGTTACACAAGTTTCAACAAGTCCGGACAGACAAGTGCTTTGGTAATATTCTTTAGTTGTTATAAATGGGTTAAATACAACCCAGGGTAGCAGTGCTGCCAGAGAGGAGGCAGTTACTGAAGTCAACCCATTTGAAACACTCTTTGGCTGGCACCTTCCATGTGCTGAAGTTGCAGTTCCAGTTTATGATCAGCAGGCCCAGTGCCATCTTAACATGAGGACAGAAGTGCAGGTGGAGAAGAGACCATATGGGAGCATCAAATGAGTTATTTGAGGGCATGATTCCAAGTCAGAAGTACTGAAACTGTATCTCATATCTCATTCTTACAAACTCTGCGTTAAGGGCTATGCTGTCACTACCATGCTCAGTGTTGGTTCAACCTTTCCACATTGGATCTAGTTACGTGGGAGTGGAATGGAGAGAGGTATGGTAATAAAGCCTAGGGCTTTGCGAAGAGTGTCGGCAGAACCGGAGAAAAGCATGGTTTGCAGGAAAGTCACATTTCTATACATGGGTCAATGATGCGAGGGCTATAAGTGATGGGTTTCTACAGACTATTGCATGCACAGGGGCTGTGAAACTATTCTGTTGGAAACAGACCTGTGTTATTTACATCCACTAGCTGACAATATATAATAGTTTTACTTGGAATTCCCATGAGAAAAATCTAACCTTCTAAAATGTAATGATATACCACTAAATATTTATCATTCATTTCTACAGATTGTGAAGCAGTTTCTGCAACCCTTCTATTGTGCAGCACTTACTCCTCATTAAAGTAAATGGGACTAGTTCTATAAGTGTTACGCAACCTAAGTAAGGGTCGAAGAATCTGGCTTTATAGGATAATTGGTGTCATGTGATAAATTAATTAAGGGGCACTTAAAGTTAGGATTTATATGGCTCAGCTACAGGAGTTAGTTTATTGCAAATTTGCCATGCTAGCCAAGAACAATTTACAGTCTATATTATAATTGCAAAGAATAACCCTGAAATCCATGCCTATTGTTTCGAGTTGCTCAATAAATCTGAATATGTAAAACTTAAATTGGAGGAAAACATACTTTTGAGTGATTGATTTAATAGTTCACTTGCTCTTGGAAACTGCAGTTATGAGGTTAATAGTCTACCTGATGTTTTACTTTCTGGACTTTGTTGTGCCAACCTGTATTACATTGTCGCCTCTTCATATTAGCAAGTAAGTTTTCATACACAGAATCTCACTTACAATTTCTTCAGGGGAAAAATGGTTGGAGCTTGCTCTGAATCATCTCATTGGATGAATCGGTATTAAAGTATCCACACCACATACACACATTTCACAAAGTAACAGAATTTAGCAGGTTCCCGTGTAATTATTCCCCCCCTCCCCCCCCATATTTCCTTTCCAATCATTGTTAATTGCCAAGATATTTTGGGTCCAGTTCAGATTAAACATGTACAACTGTGTGAAAGTCTCTTGGTCAAATTTCCCAACTACATAAATGGCTGTACAGGTCACACATCAGATGAAAATTGATCATAAAATGTGTGCAAGTGGATGTAAGTGGGAAAGTAATGTAAAACTGAACACAGATTTTTTCAAGAAAACATAAGATGTAAGATAAAGTAAGGGTGGCCTCTCCTAATCCTACATCATTCTTCGAAAAGGAACTTTAATGAAGTAAAAAAACCTAAGGAAAATTATTTTTTTCTTAATGAATGAATGGAATGTGCCAAGCCCCCCTTCAGGGAAGAGAAATCAAGTGCACCCCTTTCACCCTCAAAATGGCCTATCCATTTTAATTTCTACATTCTACATGTTGCCCTCCTAACCCTGGCTAGTCCTTCACATGACCATACCCCACAGAAGGACATGCACCACACTTTGGGATATGCTGCTACAACAGAATGATTTTAAATGCTCAGGGAACTTTGCTGGGACATTCTACACCCTCCTAGGAGGAACTGGTTGACAGGCTAATATATCATTTCACAGATTATTTGTGGCTTTTTCTCTTCATCTGTCTTTCACATTGGTAATCAGGGAATATCCAGCAATATACTGTTTAAATTCATTCTAATGTTCTGAAAGTTTCAAATCAGTGACTAAATGGCAAGTTAATCCATTTTCCCCTCCAATAATAACAAGGTACAAAACCCATAACCAGCTGATTGACTGACCTACAGTGACATAGTGACAGTCTGGATAAACTTTATGACTGTTTGTTAACTGTGATTAAATTGAATATGCAGAGGCATCTCTTGCATGTGGCATCTATTGTATTTTCACAAGCAAAATAAGCTAAAATGAAAATCAGAATATGCTACTCTACATAGAGTATAAGAACACATAAAAGAACAATCCAGGCATTTGTCACTGAGCTAGTATGAGAGGGAAGGTTTTGGTAAGCGGTGAGCCTGGCAGCTGGATTTTACTTGGAGTTGGCAGTTCAAAAATCTCTCTTTATAATTAGCCAAAGGGAAACACCTAGAACTTTAGATTTGGATCTGGATGTTGAATCCTGGAGTTCAGCAAGGAGAGATCCTGTGTTTTGGTTCTACCTGTTTAAGATATATGGGAATTCCAATCCAGACCTAAATTTGGGATCTGCAATCTGGGTTCAGGTTCATCTCATTCATTCAATAGCTGGTACTGGAATTTGTTTGGGGCACTTGTCATTGTGAAGATTTGGTCCCAAGTTGATCTTGTAGATTTGTAGAGGGGATCTTTGCACATGCCTAAGACTGGCCATGACACTAATGTCTTTCACCTGTAGATAATAGGGGCATATTAGATATAAAAAATAGATGAGATATTGAAGAAGGGCATAAAAAAATTCTGAGTTTGGCCATTGACATCAATGGGAGGAGGATCATAACTGTAATCCCTTTGTTTCTTTAGTATGGTAAATTCTCTAATAACATTAGCTTTCATAATGTGTTTTGAAAACTCTGTTCATGAAACTTGGAACCAAACACTGTGAAAAGCAAGACATGTAAATAGCTTGTTGATTTGGATCTGAACAAGCATCCAGGCTTGTTCAACCATATTTGGGGTACATTTGATCGAGGCCCATCCTCACTCCCATGTAACCATCCAATCTCCCCCAACCCATTTTATGAGAAGAGGTGCAGAGGCAAGGGTAGGCAGGAGTGGGGGAAGTGTGGGGAAGGAGAAGGGATCCAGGGGTAGGAATAGGAAGAAGTAAGCTGGCAAGAGGTCCTGAGACAGCCTCAGGCAGAGGAAACAGAAGTATCCAGGCCACAGTAGCTGGGTCCCTGAAGCAAGGGGAAAAGCTGGCAGTTGAAACACACAGAGAGAATCCTGACCTCCTACCCACCCCAAAATCCCTGATTCTCTTGCTCTTTTGTCTCGGCAAGGAATGTGGGCTAGCGATCTGCTCCAAAATATCTGAGGTGAGCCACGGGGTTGAAATCTTCAGTGTTCATGAAGCATATATTGTCCATGCATTCTTCTCTCAAAATTGTTTGTCATTGTAGAGAAATTAGTGCAGGGGTGGCCAACTTGTGGCTCCAGAGCCACATGCAGCTCTTCAGAAGTTAATATGTGGCTCCTTGTATAGTCACTGACTCTGGGGCTGGAGCTACAGGTGCCAATTTTCCAATGTGCCGGGTGGTGCTCACTGCTCAACCCCTGGCTCTGCCACAGGCCCTGCCCCCTCCACCCCTTCCCGCGCCCTTCCCTGAGCCTGCCATGCCCTCGCTCCTCCCCCTTCTCCCCCAGAGTCTCCTGCACGCCATGAAACAGCTGATCGGGAGGCGCAGGGAGGGAGGGGGAGGAGCCGATTGGCGGGGCTGTTGGTGGGTGGGAGACGCTGGGAGCGGATGGTGGGAGCTGCTGGGGGTCTATTGACATATTACTGTGGCTCTGTGGCAATGTACATAGGTAAATTCTGGCTCCTTCTTAGGCTCAGGTTGGCCACCCCTGAATTAGTGAATCATTAGTAGGGTTACATGTTTGTCATGGTGAGGAAAATGTCACAGGTAATGTGACTTTTCTGTTTGTCTGTGACTTTTCAAATTTGAATGAGGGAACTCGTACTAGCACTCTGGCCTGTTGGCCATACCTGAGTGTTGCCGTTACCCCACATACCAGGTTGCAATGCCTAGCGTGGGGAGCCAGGCCCAGCCCCTCCAGACAGCAGCTGCCACTGTGGGGTGAGTGTGGGACACACTCTATCTCCAGCCTTGCCTCCACCCTGCTGGGGCCTCCCCTCCTCACCAGGCTGGGATTAGGGTTGCGGTGAAGGGGTGGAGGATGCTGCTGGAGGTAGCCTGTGCCCTCTCAGTGGCAAGAGGAGGAGGAGGACGACTATGTCCTATGATTTTAGAGAGGTATAGTTCGATTCCATTTGTTACAACTTTTTTTTTTAAATAAAAAATCACGGCTCAGTCACTATATGTTTAGTACAAATAATCACTTTTCTGGAAAAATGGTGTGTAAATTCCTTTACACACCACTTTCCTCTAAATTCATGCCTTTAACTAAATTAACCATGACTGCTCTGTGGTTTTTGATAAAAGCTGTTGTGACAAATTTGCAGCTCTAGTCATTAGAGCTTCTGATTTTTCAATTTTCTATCAGGAAAATTAAAACAAAATACTTCATTCCGAGTCAAGTTGGCCTGAATCAAAAAATTTCAGTTTCTTGAACCAAATCAAAATATTTCCTTTTGGGTCAGTTCGACATTTCTCTGTGGCTGACAGAGCTTTAGGGTTGCCAGTTTTGGTTGGATGTATTCCTGGAGGTTTCATCATCTTGGAGACTCCAGGTTAATCTTGGAGGGCTGGCAACCCCACAGAGCTTCTGCAGTGCCTCATACTCCCATGGCTGGAATGCATCTCCTATGATGCATTGCAGTCTCTCCTTTGTCTGAAATGCCACAGTGCATCGTGGAAGCTGTAGTCAGTTCCCAGAGCTCACTCCATAAGAGAGAATGTGAGTATGAAGTATGCAAACTACAATTCTCATGAAGCACTGCAGCAGCTCAGGCAGATGCAATTCAATATCAAACCCTGCCTCAACAAAACATTTCAACATTTACTAAACAAAATTTTTCCCAAATTTTTGTTCTGTGAATTTTTTTTGATATTTTGAATTTTCAGCCCAATTCAGGATGAAAATAAATGTTGAAATATCTGAATGTCCAAGGTTGACTGGTATTCTAATTTCTGACCAGCTCAATAAATAGGCAAGAAAGGCAAAGGACGGGAGAAGGGAAGTAGTATTATACCCATTTTACAGATAAGCAACTGAGGCACAGAGAGATTAAGATCACACTGGAAATCTATGGCACAACCAGAAAATGAAAGCAGATCACTTGAGACTCAGTCCAGTGGCTTAACTACAAGACCATCCTTCCTTTCCATTGAGACCTGTGCTTTGAGTTGATTTGTTTAATTTGCTTTAGACAAAGTTCTGCTACGTTACCCTGCACTCTATTGTAAATTATTATCCAGCACTTATATTTTCAAGTTTAATTATTTCTTGTGTAAATGAGTTTAGAGCCTAATGGATTTTAACAGCTAAAAAATAAATAAGAGACTCAAAGTGTGATTGTATAAAGTCTATAAAGAGACTGTAAAACTGGCATTGTGCAGTTCCATCTTTATTGCTGTCAGTGACTCCATATCAAATGTGATTAGTTTACAATTAAAAGATGATTTCTCTAATAGCCAGCCCTGAAAATGCACACTGAGATCTGAGAACTGAGTTGTGTTCTTTTCTTCTCATGCATCATTGCCAGTAATAAAGGTTCTGTAAGCCAAATTAGACCTTCAGATACACCTGTGAAACGCCATTTCTTCACTAGGGTTGGACAGATGCAAGTGCCTAGAATTTAGTAAACAATTCTGATAATGAGGGACATAATCCAGCTTTCTTTATCAGCTGTGTTGACTCTGTGGGGCTAATAGGAGTAATGCAACCAATAAAAACTTTTTTGACGCTAAAGTGAACAGATCTGACTCAGAATACACACAGGAAGGAGACCCATTTTTACACAGTCATTTTTCAGAGTAGACTCATCCTTTAAACAATACTTTTTGTTAACTATAGTAATTTGTGTTTGTAGTAGTAATGTGACTCATACTTACTCTTGGTCCAACTCCTCCAACAAGTCCAACTGGTCCTTCTTCTCCCTGAAAAAACAATCAGGACTTGGAATAACTTTTTTGATACTGTATTTAGTTTTAAAACCTGAAAAGAACTATATTCACTTATATTAAAATCTTAAATTTGCATAGTGAATGGACATAGGTAGATATCTTTACTGTTAGGATCTAGGTTTGCACTATACAGGAAAGGGTCTAAAACTGACCTCATCTCAGCCACGATCTGTCAGAAATCCATGTTTTACAAAACCATCAAACACAATCTGCTTAAGAAAAGCCCACAAACAGAGCTGCTCAAACATTTTCACAATTTTTGACCAGCTGTACTGAGAAGACAATGGGGTTTCACAGATGTATCTGAGGGTCTAATTTGGCATAGATATGCATTTGTCTCTCATGGAGTCTAGTACTCTGACAGAATTTGTCTTGCTCTGCATGGTAAACACATAGTTATGGTTTGATTCCTGAGCAAGAAGAACAGTTCTCTTGCCTCTCCAAGCAGATGGGAATGAGTGTGGAGTCAAAAACAGACTGACAACGTCTTCTTTTCATCCCAGCTGCCAGGAGTACAGGAGAAGAAAGAGGAGACATTATAGTGTTACCAAGAGCCTCAAAATAACCATACATGACAGCGTATTGTAATGGTAGGCTTTTGAGGTTGCCGCATTACATTATGATGTTAAATCAAGATTCTGTATTATAATGTCAAGACATGATGTCATACTGTGATTATTTGATGGTTCGGTGACTCCACTTAATATGAAAGTATTTCTCCAGCTCTTGGAGGCAGAGATGCTCAACATGGAGGAGAACACAGCAGACTGAATGGAGGAAATATGGTCTGCATTTTACATGGCTTCTGATTAAACTGATAGTTTTTTGTCACCATTAGTCATTTATCATTTAAAAGCACTCATGATAACTCATCATTAAATCAGCTACATAAAGCTCTAGAGCTCTACCATCAGACTCATTACCTGATTTAATGCATTTTTAAAACCTATATTTACCAGCTATCTCAACAGCACAGAACAGCAGGGCTGCCCAGAGGATTCAGGGGGCCTGGAGTCTTCGGCGGCGGGGGTCCTTCCGCTCCGGGTCTTCGGAGTATTTCGCCGAAGACATGGAGCAGAACGAACCCTCTCCGCTGCCACTGAAAACTCTCGTGGGGGCCCCTGAAAACTCTTGAGGGGGCCACTGCGGGGCCCAGGGTCTGGGGCAAATTGTCCCACCTCAGGGCAGCCCTGCAGAACAGCACATGGAGTTGGATTTAATACATATATATTTTATGCTAATGAATTAAGAATCCTTGATTAAAAAGTTTATAGGATGCAATCCTGGCCCCACTGATGTCAAAGGGAGTTCTGCCATTGAATTCAATGGGGCTAGGTTTTCACCCAATATTCTTATTCAATATTATTATTTAAAAAAACCTGCCACTGTTTAATTCTGGATTCCACATGCAACATTCTGGACCCACACTCCTTAGACACTCTACAGAGTTGTTGAAATAAATCTTATAATGAATGCACAATACTGTAAAATATCTAAAAATCTCCCAAAATGGAAACTTGAAATCCTGCATGGCAATACTGTCCATCCTGAAGCAACATTTTCTTATACAAAAAAATTGGGTCAGATTTTTTAAAAATGTAACTTGTTGACTGGACTGTGTTTCCATCCTACCTCAATTCCTTTCGGGCCTGGGGCCCCCGGAGGCCCTCGGTCACCTAGAAGTCCCTAAATAACAAGACAACCAAAATGAGATTTTATATCTATCAATAAGCCTGTTTGTCTGGTTTCTTTCCTCTTACAATCATGCAGTGAATGAGAGGCTGAAAGCTGAGGAAGGAGACATCATTATCTGCTATTGTTCATTTCCCTTAAAAAGCCAGGAGAAAAGCTGCCCTAATTCTAACATCTGCTGTAACGCTATAGTATCTAACGAAGTTTAGCTACATCGACATTTCTAAGATTCAGACTATTTTCATTTACCTTTTGAAGGAGGAGGAGGATCAAAGTAACTGATGTTCGCAAGAGAACAGTTTATTTTTGTTACACAACATTAGTTTGAATTTGATGGGCTACTTAAAGAGGAACTGAGAAATCCCCTGTAAATCCAGGTTTTGGGTAATATTTAGGGTAATATTTGGTAATAATGAAAACTGACTTATATTAAAACTATTCTTCTCTCCACCAAACTCCTCATTTTATGTAGTTATTTCCCGAGGTCCAACACAATCCCACTTACACTACCAAAGCAGATCAGTAAATCCATCTTTTCTTATTCTTTGGTGGGATTACGATTGCTGTCAGAACACAAGCATTACAGAAATAGCTGTACAAAGTTTAGACTTTTACATTTTTACCCAGCTGCAAGCCACTTCCGAGCATTGATTCTGAAGGCAATTAGCCATGATTGAATTTGTAACAAAATCTTGGTGAGTAGCATAAGACAGAATGAAATAAAACTAAGCTTTGCTGTGTGTGTGACTCGGCACTGCTTTGGCAAGGGTGATATCCTGTCATGTCTCTAAACTTTATTTTCAGTGTTGTCCTGACAACTTAATTTTCAGTGTAGAAAATAACTTTGGAGACTGAAGACCTCTATTTATCCACACAAGAGGTACACCTTGGTAGTGGCATCACATATAATCTTCCTACACTGCCAAACCTATGGACCCAAATTCTGATCAGTTAGAGAGGGAGTTTACAAAGATTCAACCCTCAGCCAATATGTCGAGAATGCCTACTGAGACGTCAAATGTAATCCTGGCATTTGTTCTGTGGATCGGGAAGTGATTTGAGGGTATCAAATCATTTAGAACTGCCGCAAGATAGCAATGATATTCAGCCATTACAAACCTTGGCAGGATTATATCCAGTGTCCTAGAAGTGACGGACATATCCCATTGCCAACCCTGAGTCATCACATCCTCTTACAGCAACATTTGTAAAACTCCACTACTCAGACTGAGGAACTAATGGTGTTTCAGAGACCTTGGTTATCCAAGTTATAATGGTAGTAACTGGAATAAGCACTCAACCCGGCTTTATGACAAAAAAGGTCTACGTAAATATATTATTATTGTATGAGGGAAGCCAGGCTTACTTATATCAGGTAAAGCAACGAGAACAAAAAATCATCTCTTATGAAAGAGATCATTAGCCTCTGAAGAAATATTGGATGGAAAAGCTCCAACTCTCAGCGTTATTAAATTTATGAAATTTAGACTAAAGGTGCACACATTTGTCCAGCAGCTGCCTGCCTGCTTAGCACACAAAGCAACACTTCATAGAAAATGTATCGGGCCATCTCAAAATACCGAGTCTTATTAAAGTTCCCATCATTTGATTTTATCTGGAATAAAGTACGATGGAGAACTGCAGCTGGAGAGCATCTCTCTGGCAAAAGCAACAGCAAGACACTTACTCCATAAATAATACTGATCTTTAGTCGGTGAAGAAAAGTATTTCCTTAGAAAACAGAACTGTTATTTTACTATGCAATAGCAATAAATTAACAAATGCTAAGCTTTTCAGTGTCATTTAAACTCATACAATGGTGCAAATATTAGCAAATTTCTTAGTTACTGTGTGTGTTCCTAGACCGTACTTACTCAAATTTGTAAAGAACACCTCGGCCTTTAAAACTGATAATTAACTGCAGTTTCCATACCCACACTCTGAGGTTTCAGGCAATGAACAGAAAATGAAGGTAGTCTTTAGAGATGTGCCAAAATGTCTGGAAAGAATTCAGGAGTCAGCAAATGGGGGTATCATGTATTTCCCATGTGTTCAGAACTTTCCATTCGACCCTCCCTTACAGGATTAATAGAACTCTTAATAGCCATTTATAGGAGGTATGCTACCCAAACAAAACATGAATGAGCAGAGGAAGGAAGCTCGCAACTATTTCCATGGTACAACATGTATTGCTAGAGAAACCATTATGATATTTATATAGTGAGCAGGTCTGCCTTACTTTTTACTCTGGCTCTTGTAACATGCAGCCAAAAGTATTTGCAAGAGTGACACAACGAACAAACAACAGAAAGATATTTCAGAACTTCCCAAACTAAAACACTCCTCTTTTTATTAGTTATTATGCAAGTGCCTCATTTTTATGAACATTGGATCAAGATCAATACCTTCTAAGATATTGCTTCCAAGATGAATAATGTGCTGTGGACCAAACTATGTAATGTATCTTTCGTGCATTATTCTAGGAGTTCATATTTGTTAATTACTGTAGTAATTTGGATAAAATGGCCATCCCAAAGTTCTACTGGTCTTCAGAGACAGGTATATCATGTTTGCATATCTTACACTCTATCATGATGGTTGGTTTCTCTTATGTTAAAATATAAAGACTACGCCACCTTCCTGGCACTTTGTGCAGATTTTGTCTCTGAGGAAGCACAGAACAGAAGAATGAGGAAAAGAGCAGTTTGGTGAAAACAGTGTTCTAAAAATAAAGACTAAATGAGTCTCTTCAAAACTGCAGTGAACACAAGACCACTGGGCATCCTAAAGGCAAACATTTCCAGTTTCATGTAGCCCTGCTCTCTAGGTATTAGGAGCAGTGCAAAGGCTATTCCACTTTGGTAACACTCCATCTCCAATGTAAGTCACCAATTCTCTTTGATTAGACCTGGCTGTCCAAGCTTTTTGTCTTCGCGAGCCCATGTGCTGGAGAGACCACAATGTCTTGTATAGTTATGGAATTCTTGTTATATTAAATGAACTCTGGAATCTTAAATACTGCGGGCTATCTCTTAGCATTTCTGTTGGAATTTGAATGAAAGGAGATAGACTAGTATTGTATCTCTGAAACATAAATCCACAACTAATAGACCAAATTAACATTAACTTTGAACTGCATATACAGGGAAATAATATATATCACATCACTAAGAAGGGCTTTGAGCTCATTTACACTATAGATGCATTAGTTTGGATATTTAAACTGAATCTGTATTTTCTAGATCTAACTTAATTCCACTTCTCTCATGTCCACTAATGCATAGGCCTGATGTCTCGTGGAAAGATCTTAGGTTCCCTGACAATTCATTAATCTTACAAAAACATAATAATGACCACCCAACAGTATTCATATTAAACAAGCATAAATGGTAACAAATTAACTCAGCCAGCCAACAAATCAGAGCAAAAGAAAAGCTCCTCTCTAGTCATCTTTGCCTCTGGAAACATAACCTCAACCTTTCCCCCCAGCCCTGTAAAATAAATGGCTTTTGCAGCATGCCTAGAAGGTTATCATGTTTGGGGTGATGGATCAAGGCTATTTACACATTTGACAGATGTGGGAGGCAAGTGAGAGTCTGAGGTTGACCAGGTTTCCAGTAGTTGGAGTGACTATGAGATCTGAATGAAGGGATAAAAGAAGACGGTGTTTGGTTTTGTATAATTCTTACTGTTTATTAGGATGTCAGTGTTTAAAGGATATTATGGCCAACCCAGGGAACATATGAGACTCAAGCAAACAAAACTTAAGGAAACGGCTGAAGCAATGAAGGGTAACAGAGATTTAGGTAGTATTTGCATAGAAACAATACGTAAGCTCATATTTTTAAAAGCAGATGGCTAAAGGGTTAGAAAAACACTAGTGTAACTCCACTATCTAAAACAGAGTTAAGCTTTGTCTACATAGGAAAGTTGAACAAGTATAACCTAATGAGTGAATTTAAACACATACAGTCAAACTAGCACAAAGCCCTGTGTGGGCACTCTTATTCTGGTTTAAGAATGGCTTGTTTCAGTTTAGCAAAAAGTCAGTTGGGGACAGGTTTAAGCTAAATTGAAATAAAGTCACTCTTAAACCAAAATAACAGTGTCCATACAGGGGTTGCACCAGTTTAACTAAACTGGAATCAAAACAAATTCAAGTTACACCGGTGCAAATTTCCTATGTAGACAAGGCCTGTCTCCTGACTGTGAGAGGCAAGTCATGCTCAGTTCACAGTTCTTTGCTAATTTACGAGGCTGCAGTGTGACACCTATCCCCAGTCCATGGTTTTCTTTTGTATTTCTTCCCAAGAACCTCCTCTTCTCTTAGTATTGTCTCACTCTCAGTGCATTAATGACATTGCGATAAGGCTCTGTAAGTTCTTACCTTTGGACCTTCAGGGCCATTTAGTCCAGGTACACCAATATCTCCTGGAAAACCCTAAGGAGGAGAAGATAGGCAAGCTGTTCATAGCATAGGAATGTTTCCATTGTACAAAGTAAAAAAAAAATTTTTTTTTTGTTTTGAATCTATTCATTTTAGAAATGTAACAAACCTGAATCACAGAAATCAAGACATGGATTTGTTTTATGAAATCCAAAACACTTTGAAGTCCAGTAAGCTGTTCTGAAAGAACTTGGCTTCATTAAACTCAATTTGACAGATGTCAGTATAGCTTTTATTTGTCTTGAACCCTTTTGTCCATTTGACAAGTTTTATTATTTAACTATAGACCCAGACTTGATCCCATTGAAATCCACAAAGGAACCTTGCTCCATCAGTTATGAATGTAAAAAAACTGTTTAAACCCCAGCACCTAATTGCTTGAGCCCCAGCACCTCTTTCATTACAAATTAAGCCCTGGGCACCACGACACAGCAGCTGTCCAGCAGCCTTTGGGAAATGAGGTTGTGGTGTCTAATGCCAGCCCTGCTTGACGGACCCCCTGAAACTTGATCGTGGCCCCCTAGAGGGCCCCGGACCTCTGGTTGAGAACCACTGATTTAGACAATGAATTCGTAGTTGTACAACAAAAAAGTGGTTTATACTATTTTACAAGAGCTCTTTATACAGAGATGTTTTTTGACATTTTATATGAAAGTCACACAAGGGGCAGGAAAGTCCGATATAAATTTCCCACAGCCACCTTAACTCTGCTTCATTTTACAAAGGAAATGAACAACAAGTCTTTTAAACAAAGCTTGTGAGTTCTTCACTGCTTTAAAGTAGAACTGCAGGAACATGTTCAGCAGGAGATTAAAAACTGGCTGCAATCTGATAAACACAAATGCTGTCCATGGACTCTTTTGCCATTTACAAGTCCTGACTGATAAAATATAAAGGTGATGGGGGGTGTGACGCAGAAACCTAGATAAGCAGACAGACAGAGTTTAATTTATGAAATCCGATGAGACTGTAGTCCATATCAGTGTGGCTACAGGACAATGATGTTTAGTGGTATTCACTGAATTCTCAGGTGATCATTCCATTTTAGAACAAACTAGGCCCAAGCCAACTTAACTTTTTAAAATTGAACAAGATCAGACTTTTTCACACTGGTATTGCCATCTGTTCTCAAGTAGGAACTGCTGCTAGTACTGTGACACTGATACTTTATTCAGCACAGGATGCACTTATTCATCTGCCAAAATATTATTTGATTTTGTTGTTCCATTACTTTTCAAAGTTTACCAAACTTGGCTCAGCTGAAAAGTAAGTATGATTATTGTTGTAGAAAATGGGTGGCATTGATCAGCTCCTACCCTGAATAAAATATCTATTATTGGATCTATAACTTGATATGCCGGACTCTGACAAAGGTCCCCTTAACCCTTACCACAGGTCATTTGGTTCTAAAGATAAATAGGATAATTTGTGAGTAGGAAAATCAAATATCTACAAATGAAAATTAAGAGTATCTGGTAGGCATCTTTCTGGTATTAATGAATTTACTACACGTTCACAACATCTTTTAAAAATATCCACAGCTTTATCTGCAATACCAAATTCTTTCAGAGATGGAAACAGCACTGCTCCCTGTTATTATTTATGTCTAAATGCATGTCATCATTGAAGTTTTGAACATTTTTTAGTTTCCCCAAGTACAAAAGAAACCTATGAAAAAGTCCTAAGAGTTGAAAAATATTTCCCCATCACCTTCTGTTCCCCCAAATCAAGTAACTCAAAATACACCGAGTGGTTTTTATTAATCTTTCTGAAAATTATTCAGTATTAGCTGAGACTAAGCTATTACATTTCAACCCTAAAGGTAAATTACCAAATTCATTCTAAAGCAGAGGCAATGAAAGTGCAATCTCATCCTTAACCACATTACTGCTAGTGTAATAGTATAACAAAAGAGAATGAAATATATAGTACTTCTAGTCTTAGATGTTTGGGTTTTCCTGTGTTTACTTTTCATAAACTGCTTTTAATACGCTATAAATGAACTCAATCTGTGATGTTCACTTTTGTAACAAACCAGAAGTAAATGAGTAAATAAATCAGAAATCTAAAACATATGTTTGAGAATTATTGCTGTAACCTGTTTGTGACCCAGTTGGTTCTATGACCTTTAAAGAAACCTCTAAACTTTTAGCACTTGGATGCCGAGGGGCACAAGAACAAGCCCATTAGACAGAGTGACTGCCTGATTTACAATGAACTTTCAAAACAGAAGTTTCTGTACCAATCCTGACTCTGTACACTCTAATCTATACTAAAACATCAAAATTAATGTTTCCCTTCAAAATGGAGAAATGTTCACCAGAATAGTTGTGCAACAACACTGACATGCCTCAGATGGCACATATTATTTTATACATATGTGATAAATGCACTCAAATTGAATATTTAATATACATTATTTATATCACCCCAGATTTTTTAATTGTTCAGGTTAGAATCTAAAAAGCACATGATTACTCACTAAATTAAACTAACTAGGTCAATGCAACAATAGTTGCTATTTCACCTTTTCATACCTCTAAATGTTGCTGAATTTAGAGGCATTCAAGAATTTTAAAATGTAGTTCTTTATATCTCTCTAACTATATTGGAGGGAGGGAAGAGATTTTCAAATGCATAAATGGATAGTAACTGCTGACATGAATACAATTTCCTCTGGGTGATAAACAGCCCAGAAAATGCTGTGTTAACAAGGGTACTGGAAGAGCCATATTCCTTTTAGAAGCATTCTTACATTTTCTGTGCAGAAATCCTTCTAATTTATTTATTTACTTGGGTGTATACAAATGCTTCTAAGAGAAATTCTAAAAGCTGTATGATTAAGCTGTAAGTGTAGACAAGAGCAAACTGAAGCCAGCATTGGTTCAGCTAAACCAATCCTTGAAACTGTGCTATTTCCAGATGTCAACAAGGTGTGTGATGTGCCCAGGAACTACGGTGATGGGCACAGTAGGAATACATACAGTAACAATAATGGTACATCCAAATATTCACATATCTTCATTTTTATTTTAAAAAAAATTTCTTCTGTATCACAAAGTCTCCTTTTTCATCTTCTCCTGCTGAACACAATCTATAGGGAAAACATAGATACTATGACAGTCCTGGAAGACTGTTTTAAAGAAGTTTTCAAATTAATGCATGATTTACTAATGTAGCAGTAGGAAAGTGGTTAAACAATATTTATGACCAGTTTATCAGTAAGAACCTACATCCCTAATCTACACAAGCGTTGAGAAAACCTAACCCCACAAAAATATACAATGAATCTTAGAGCTGCATCTTGAAGCCCTTCACATTTTCAACAATGGAAGTTTTGCTGAGTAAAGACATCAGTATTAAATCCTATGGACTGGTACTGGGGAAACTATTTGAAGAAACAGATGAAATTCAGTGAGATTCCTGACTTAGAACTGTAAGAAATTATCACATAATGGCATGCACAGATTGGCTCATCAAGATATAGAGACTTATCTACTTTTGTTATGCTAAATAGGTACCTTGGTATTGGTCTTCAAATTCAAATTACAGGGGATCCAGTAATGTAATACCACAGGAATCTAGAATCTGTAAAATGTCCTCATTTAATTACATAAAATGGAAATTGGTCCTTTAATTTCTAATGTGGTTTACTGTTTTGATGGAGAGGAACAAACAGCATTGCTATTCATCAACACCAAACAGGACCACGTTGAATTAAAAGAAATGAACGAGGCTGGAACTCTTAAATTGTCTTAACAATTTTTTTTTCCTTCCAAACTCTGAGCAATGTAACTGCACTCAGTATACTCCGACCTTCAGAATTTCTGTTTACCAAGAGTTATTCAGGAGTCCACCCTCCCATGTCTACTCCCAGAATAAAAAAAAAAATCCTTTTTTTAAAATACAACTGATAATCTAGGAGGTTTATGCGTAATTTCCAGATGAAATTATTGTGTGCAAAATATGAGCAGATATTTTGACACTTCCTAGGGAAATGTAAAAAGTAGAATATCTAGACTCTGCCAATAACCAGAAGCCAAACAGCTGGTAGGTTACAGTGTACTTCTGAAATTCTGTAACAGCCAAAGAGTGTTGGACCCCTTCCATCTTAGTCACATGAGTCCTGGGAAAGAACACAATTAGGTGGATTACTGATTTAGATGGAATTCCATGAGCACCGTAGGTAAAATTTTTGGATAAAGTCCTGAGAGTAATTTTATCAGGGAAGAAGACTGTAGCCACTCAGAAGGAAGCTTTCACAGAGAGATGTAGAAGGGGGTGTGATGCCTTAGGTTTAAATGGAAGCCCCGTAAGTAAAGGAAGTACTAGGTTAAGGTCCAAAGAAGAAATGGGACCTTAATGGGTGTCTTCTCAACCCCTTTATGAATCTCAGAACCATCTGATGAGAGAAGACAGATTGGCCACTGACAGGTAGATGATATGCTGAGACTCCAACCAGGTGAATTCTCCCCGAGCTCAGAGAAACATTAAATCATTTCACTTGTAGCAGGTAACTCACAATCATAGGAATGACTTCGACTTCCTCCTCAGTGAGAGAATCTTGTCCACTTCACAAAGTAAGTATGTCTGGTGGAGTCTCCTCTGCTGACCAAAATAACCCTGAATGGAGAAGAGCAGGAACATGGGAGGCTAGACTTCTATCCAGGAGCCAGGCCTTGAAATGGGGAGACATGAGCCCCTTCAAACCGAAGATCCTACATTGTGGACTGGACTTAGCCTTGGGGAAGCCAGATCCCTGTAACCATGATAACCTGTGTACAACCATGGCTGTTGCCATTGTGTGAGAAGTGATGTTAACCACATCAAGGGCTGCTTGGAGACTCATTTTTGCTATCAGCCGCCCCTCTGTGATTGAGGTCACAAATTCTTCTCGGGAATCAGCCAGAATTTTACTGGTGAATGCAGCAATTTTCTCACAGAGACTAAAATGGTATCTTGACAGTAGGGCTTGATAATTCAGAAGAGAGAAT